TGGGATGGGGGGTGGGGGGGACTGGAAAGTGGGAAATATGGGGACTGGGGGGGGTCAGGACACCCACCCACTGGTGTCACCCCCTGACCCTCACATCCCCTGTCCCCATGTCCCCGTGGGTGCAGGGGACCCCCCCCCGGGGCCGTCACCCCTGGAGCGGGGGCTCCACGCCCTGGTGGGCACCTTCTACCAGTACGCGGGGACCCCGGGGGGGACACGGGAGCCCGTCCTGGACCCCCCCGCCTTCCAGCGCCTGCTGCGCCGCGAGCTGGGCCACCAGCTCACCGTGAGTGTCCCCGGGGGGGGGGACAGCCTGGCCATACCCCCACCCCAGGGTGTCCCCACCCCCCCACGTGTCCCCATGTCCATCCCTTGCCGTGGTGTCCCTCCACAAGCCCCTCTATCCCCCATGTCCCCATGGTGTCCCTCCACGTGGCCTCATGGTGTCCCCATGGCCCCATGTGTCCTCATGGCCCAACGTGTCCCACCAAGTGTCCCCATGGCCTCAAGTGTCCCCATGTCCATCCCTTGCCATGGTGTCCCTCCACAAGCCCCTCTATCCCCCATGTCCCCATGGTGTCCCTCCATGTGTCCACGGGGTGTCCCCATGGCCCCATGTGTCCTCATGGCACAATGTGTCCCCTCAGTGTCCCACCGAGTGTCCCCATGGCCTCACGTGTCCCCACGACCATCCCTTGCCGTGGTGTCCCTCCACAAGCCCCTGTATCCCCCGTGTCCCCATGGTGTCCCTCCACGTGGCCTCATGGTGTCCCCATGGCCCCATGTGTCCCCATGTCCATCCCTTGCCGTGGTGTCCCTCCACAAGCCCATCTATCCCCCATGTCCCCATGGTGTCCCTCCACATGGCCTCAGGGTGTCCCCATGGCCCCATGTGTCCTCATGGCCCAACGTGTCCCCACAGCGTCCCACCGAGTGTCCCCATGGCCTCATGGTGTCCCCATGGCCCCGTGTGTCCTCATGGCCCAACGTGTCCCACCAAGTGTCCCCATGGCCTCACGTGTCCCCACGACCATCCCTTGCCGTGGTGTCCCTCCACAAGCCCCTGTATCCCCCGTGTCCCCATGGTGTCCCTCCACAAGCCCCTGTATCCCCCGTGTCCCCATGGTGTCCCTCCACAAGCCCCTGTATCCCCCGTGTCCCCATGGTGTCCCTCCACAAGCCCCTGTATCCCCCGTGTCCCCATGGTGTCCCTCCACAAGCCCCTGTATCCCCCGTGTCCCCATGGTGTCCCTCCACAAGCCCCTGTATCCCCCGTGTCCCCATGGTGTCCCTCCACAAGCCCCTGTATCCCCCGTGTCCCCATGGTGTCCCTCCACAAGCCCCTGTATCCCCCGTGTCCCCATGTCCATCCCTTGCTGTGGTGACCCTCCACAAGCCCCTGTATCCCCCGTGTCCCCATGGTGTCCCTCCATGTGTCCATGGGGTGTCCCCATGGCCCCATGTGTCCTCATGGCCCAACGTGTCCCCACAGTGTCCCCATGGCCTCATGTGTCCCCATGTCCATCCCTTGCCGTGGTGTCCCTCCAGAAGCCCCTGTATCCCCCGTGTCCCCATGGTGTCCCTCCACGTGTCCATGGGGTGTCCCCATGGCCCCATGTGTCCTCATGGCCCAACGTGTCCCCACAGTGTCCCACCGAGTGTCCCCACGGCCTCATGTGTCCTCATGTCCATCCCTTGCCGTGGTGTCCCTCCACATGTCCCCAGGGTGTCCCCATCCCTCCATGTGGCCCCAGGGTGTCCCCACTGCCCCACGTGTCCCCATGGCACCACGTGTCCCCAGGGAGTCCCTCTAAGTGGCCTCGTGTCCCCACATGTCTCTAGGCCCATGGTGTCCCTCCACATGCCCCCAGATTGTCCCCATATTTACCCGTGGCCCACGGTGTCCCTCCATGTCGCTCCATGGCCTCCTGTGGCCCCAGGATGTCCCTCCACAAGAATCCAGGGTGTCCCCATGGCCCCGTGTGGCCCCACATTGGGTGTCCCTCCACATGTCCCCAGGGTGTCCCCATCCCTCCATGTGGCCCCAGGGTGTCCCCACTGCCCCATGTGTCCCCATGGCACCACGTGTCCCCAGGGAGTCCCTCTAAGTGGCCTCGTGTCCCCACATGTCTCTAGGCCCATGGTGTCCCTCCACATGCCCCCAGATTGTCCCCATATTTACCCGTGGCCCACGGTGTCCCTCCATGTCACTCCATGGCCTCCTGTGGCCCCAGGATGTCCCTCCACATGAATCCAGGGTGTCCCCATGGCCCCCACATTTCCCCATGGCCATCCCCTTCCAAGATGTCTCTCCTGTGTCCCCAGGGTGTCCTCGTGTCCCCACAGCCCCACGTGGCCCCAAGGTGTCCCTCAACGTGTCCCCATGACCCCAGCCCCTCACCCCCCTGCCCAGCCAGGGGACCTGGCCATGAGCGGTGCCACCACCTCCCCGCTGGTGCCCATGTCCCCACAGTGTCCCCCACCTTGTCCCCATGTCCCCTCCTGTCCCTACCCGCCCTGTGTTCCCTTCAGCCATCCCCATGTCCCATCCCCATGTCCCCTCCTGTCCCTGCCCGCCCCATGTCCCCCTTGATGTCCCCATGTCCCCCTGCCCAGCCACAAGACCCAACCACAAGTGATGCCACCACCACCTCCCACCTTGTCCCCACATCCCCTCCTGTCCCCCCCCTCGGCCATCCCCGTGTCCCCATGTCCCCCTGCCCACAGGACACGGGGCAGCCCGAGGCGGTGGCCGCCATCTTTGCTCTGCTGGACGCCAACGGGGACCGGGTCATCTCCTTCGACGAGTACTGGCAGCTGGTGGCCTGGCTCTGCCACGTCCTGCGCCACCGCCACTACGGGGCCGCGCCGGCCCCCCCGCCACCCCCCATCTGTGGGGACACCGACGGCCACCACCACCCGGACCCCAACCCTGCCCCAGTGTCCCCAGCCCATGGGGATGGGCACCAGTGACCCCTGGCCAGGTGGGGACATCCCCAGGGTGATGGCCCTTGGTCCCCCACCTCATGATGGGGCCATGGATGTCCCCAGGATGAGTGGTCCCCGGTTCCCCACCCCACAGTGGGGACAGGGATGGGGACATCCCCAGGGTGAGTGGTCCCTGGTCCCCCACCTCATGGTGGGGACAGGGACGGGGGCACCCAGAGGGACACAGGGCTGGTGGGTGCCCCATTTTCTAGTGTTTTCATCCCAAATGACCCCTGGCAGTGGGGCAGGGTGGCTGGGGTGGTTCCAGCCCCACATTCACCAGAGATGGGGGGAAACGGGCCCCATGGGGACGTCCCTGTCCCCTTCCTGTCCCCGGGGCGCTGGTGGGAGGAGGAGAAATGTCTTAAAAACCAGTTGAATATAGAAAATGTACTGGAATTATAATAAAAAAGACCCAAAAAGGGACTGTTTAGGTTCAGAACGTGCAAATGCAGGGGGTGGGAGGAACTGGCAAAGGTGGGTGCTGCCCCACAGCGACCCCCTGCCCCATAGGGCCCTCCCCCCCAACATAGAAGGACCTTCGCTGCCCCATAGGGTCCTCTCCTGCCCCACACGGACGTTCTCTGTCCCATGGTGTCCTCTCCTGTCACACAGGGTCCCTCTGCCCCATAGGGACCCCCCAACATAAAGGGACACTGCCTGCCCCATAGAGTCCTCCCCTGCCCCATAGTGAACACCTCCTACCTCATAGGGAGCACCTCGTACCCCATAGGGTCTTCTCCTGTCCCATGGGGTCCTTCTCACCCGTGGATCCTCTCCTGTGGCACCACAACCCCCAGCCCCATATGGTCCTCCTCTGCCCCACAGAATCCCTCCCTTGCCCCATGGGGACTCTTCTGCCCCATAGGGTCCTTTCCCATCCAATGGGGTCCCTCTGACCCATATGGTCCTCTCCTGCCACACGGGGCCCCCCAGCTCCATAGAGTCCACCCAACATATAGAGACCCTCCCTGCCCTATAGAGTCCTCCTCTGCCCCACAGGGACCCATCTTGCCCCAAAGGGACCCCTTCCTGCCCCACAACAACTGCCCGTTTCTCCCATAGGGAGCTCCTGTCTCGAGGGGGCGGAGCCTTGAAGGGGGGGCGGGACCTGTGATGGGGCGAGGTCTGTGGTGGGCGTGGTCTGTTGTGGGGCGTGGTCAGGACAGAGATAGCCCCGCCCATGAGCCCCAGAGCTGTGTAGGCAGAGAGACAGAGATGGGGGGGCTATGGGGCACCAAGGAGGGAATATGGGGCAGGAGGGGTCCCTGTGGGGCAAGGGAGAGTCCCTTTATGTTGGGGGGATCCTATGGGGCAGGGAGGGCCCCATGGGTCAGAGGGACCCCATGGGACACCAGTGGACCCTATGGGATAAGAAATGTTCCCTGTGGGGCACTGACAGAGATGGGGGGGCTATGGGGCACCAAGGAGGGAATATGGGGCAGGAGGGGTCCCTGTGGGGCAAGGGAGAGTCCCTTTATGTTGGGGGGATCCTATGGGGCAGGGAGGGCCCCATGGGTCAGAGGGACCCCATGGGACACCAGAGGACACTATGGGATAGGAAGTGTTCCTTGTGGGGCACTAGGGTCCCTATGGGGCAGGGGAGGACCCTATGGGGCAGGAAAGGACCATATGGGGTAGGGAGTGTCCCTTTATGTTGGGTGGTCCCTATGGGGCAGAGGGACCCTATGCAGCAGGAGAGGACACCATGGGACAGGGAGTGTCCGTGTGGGGCAGGAGAGGACCCTATGGGGTAGGAAAGGTTCCTACACGCTGTGGGGGGAGTTCCTATGGGGCAGGGGGTCCCTATGGGGCAGCACCCACCTTTGCCACCTCCCCCCACCCCCAATTTGCACATTTTGAACCTCAACGATCCCTTTTTGGGTCTTTTTTATTATTATTCCGGTATTTTCCATATTCAACCAGTTTTAAGGACATTTCACAGTGTCCCCAGGGACAGGGAGGGGACGGGGACATCCCTATGGGGCCTGATTTGCCCCATCTCTATGGGGCTGGGGCGACCTGGGGTCCACCCCACTGCCAGGTGGTATTTGGGGTCAAACCATCAGGAAATGGGGCACCCATCACCCCTGTGTCCCTCTGGGTGCCACCATCCTTGTCCCCACCATGGGGTGGGGGACCAAGGTCCATCACCCCCAGGATGTCCCCATCCCTGTCCCCACCATGGGGTGGGGGACCAGGAGCCACTCGCCCCAGGACATCCCTGTCCCCATGACGGTGTGGGGGACAAGGGTCCACTCACCCTGGGGACATCCTTGTCCCCATCGTGGGGTGAGGGACCAGGAGCCACTCACCTCAGGGATGTCCCTGGCCCCATCGTGGGGTGAGAACCAGGACCCATTGCCCCCAGGGACATCCTTGTCTCCATCACAGGGTGGGGGACTGGGGACCACTCACCCTGGGGACGTCCCTGTCCCCACCGTGGGTTGAGGGGGCCAAGGGCCATCACCCTGGGGACATTCCCATCCCTGTCCCCATCATGGAGTGAGGGACCAGGACCCATTGCCCCCGGGGACATCCCTGTCTCCATCACAAGGTGGAGGACCGGGGACCACCTCAGGGGGACCTCACCCTGGGGACATCCATGACCCCACCATGGGATGGAGGACCAAGGGCCATCACGCTCGGGATGTCCCCATCACAGGGTGGGGGACCACCTCAGGAGGACCTCACCCTGGGGACATCCATGACCCCACCATGGGATGGAGGACCAAGGGCCATCACCCTCGGGATGTCCTCATCCCTGTCCCCACCTGGCCGGGGGTCACTGGTGCCCATCCCCGTGGGTTGGGGACACTGGGGCAGGGTTGGGGTCCGGGTGGTGGCCGTCGGTGTCCCCACAGATGGGGGGTAGCGGTGGGGCCGGCGCAGCCCCGTAGTGGTGTGCTCGGGATGTCCCCATCACAGGGTGGGGGACCACCTCAGGAGGACCTCACCCTGGGGACATCCATGACCCCACCATGGGATGAAGGACCAAGGGCCATCACCCTCGGGATGTCCCCATCCCTGTCCCCACCTGGCCGGGGGTCACTGGTGCCCATCCCCTTGAGCTGGGGACACTGGGGCAGGGTTGGGGTCCGGGTGGTGGCCATCGGTGTCCCCACAGAGGGGGGGGGGCGGGGGGGCCGGCGCGGCCCCGTAGTGGCGGTGGCGCAGGACGTGGCAGAGCCAGGCCACCAGCTGCCAGTACTCGTCGAAGGAGATGACCCGGTCCCCGTTGGCGTCCAGCAGCGCGAAGATGGCGGCCACCGCCTCGGGATGCCCTGTGTCCTGTGGGCAGGGGGACATGGGGACATGGGGATGGTCGAGGGGGACATGGGATGGGCAGGAGGACACAGGGACATGGGGATGGCCGAGGGGGGACATGGGGTGGGCAGGGACAGGAGGAGACGTAGAGACAGGGTTGGAGGTGGTGGCATCACTTGTGGTTGGGTCTTGTGGCTGGGCAGGGGGACATGGGGATGGCCAACAGGGGACACAGGATGGGCAGGGACAGGAGGGGTGGTGGGGAGGTGGTGGCACCACTCATGGAGATGTCCCATGGCTGTGTAGGGGGACAAGAGGGGACATGGGGACATGTGGGGAGGAGGTGGCATCACTCATGGAGATGTCCCATGGCTGTGTAGGGGGACAAGAGAGGACATGGGGACATCTGGGGATGTGGTGGCACCACTCATGGACATGTCCCATGGTTGTGTAGGGGGACAAGAGGGCAGAGGGTCATGGGTATGACTGAGGGGACATGGGACAGACGTGGACAGGAGGGGACATGGGGAGGTGGTGGCATTGCTCAAGGGTGGGTCCCATGGCTGGGCAGGGGGACGTGGGGTTGAGGACACATGGAGGGACACTATGGGGACAGGAGGATGGCCAAGGGGACATGGAGCCGGCAGGGGCAGGAGGGGACATGGGGACAGGGCGGGGAGGTGGTGGCATCGCTCGTGAACGGGCAAGGGGACAAGGAGACAGGTGGTGGGACAGTATGAGGACATGGGGATGGGTGGGGAGGTGGTGACATCACTCGTGGCCAGGTCCTCCCTGGGCAGGGGGGCGAGGGACTGGGGATGTGGGGACACGTGGAGGGACACCCTGGGGACATGAGGACACATGGGGCCATGGGGACACTCTGGGGACACATGGAGGGACACCCTGGGGACACAGGGACACATGGAGGGACATCTTAGTAGAGATGGTCACAGGGACACGTGGGGCTGTGGGGCCACCATGGGGACATGTGGGGCCATGAGGACACGTGGGGCCACGTGGAGGGACACCACGGCAGGGGATGGCTGTGGAGACACGTGGGGACATGGGGAGGGACACCCTGGGGACATATGGAGGGACACCATAGAGATGTGTGGGGCCATGGGGATGTGGAGGATCACTGTGGGGACACGTGGTGCCGTGAGGACATCCTGAGGACACATGGAGGGACACCATGGGGACATGTGGGGCCATGGGGACACGTGGGGCCATGGGGACACCTTGGGGCCACGTGGAGGGACATCATGGGGACATGTGGGGCCATGGGGACACGTGGGGCCATGGAGACACCTTGGGGTCACGTGGAGGAACATCATGGCAAGGGATGGATGTGGGGCCACACAGGGCCATGGGCATGGCCCAACGTGACCCTGGGGCCACATGAGGCCATGGGAACACATGGAGGGACACCTTGGGGACATGTGGGGCCATGGGGACACGTGGGGCCATGGAGACACCTTGGGGTCACGTGGAGGAACATCATGGCAAGGGATGGATGTGGGGCCACACAGGGCCATGGGGACACCCTGGGGACACCCTGGGGCCACATGAGGCCATGGGAACACATGGAGGGACACCTTGGGGACATGTGGGGCTGTGGGGCCATGGGGACACCCCATGGACACGTGGAGGGACACCTTGGGGCCACAAGAGACCATGAGGGACACATGGAGGGACACCTTGGGGACATGTGGAGGAACATCATGGCAAGGGATGGATGTGGGGCCATGGGGACACCCTAGGGACATCCTGGGGCCACATGAGACCATGAGGGATACATGGATACATGGAGGGACATGTGGAGACATGGGGACATGTGGAGGGCCACCATGGCAAGGGATGGATGTGGGGCCACGTGAGGCCATGGGGGACACATGGAGAGACACCTTGGGGACATGTGGGTCTGTGGGGCCATGGGGACACCCCATGGACACTTGGAGGGACACCATGGGGACATGTGGAGGGACACCTTGGAGACATGTGGGGCCATGGGGACATGCCATGGACACGTGGAGGGACACCTTGGGGCCATGTGGGGCTGTGGGGCCATGGGGCCACCTTGGGGACACCCTGGGGCTACATGAGGCCATGGGGGACACATGGAGGGACACCTTGGGGACATGTGGGGCCATGGGGACATCC